AGCTGGCGGTGCCTGCCCCCCAGTCCTCCCACCACAGCCTGGGGGGATGGAGGGGACAAAGGGCGCCGGGGAGCGCCCTGCGTGGGAGACATGCACGGAGCCCACGGCGGCCTAACGCGAAGGGAACGGGGCGGGTCCTCGCCCGGTGGTTAAGGGGCCAGACCACAGCCCTGGGCCTGGGCGCGCCCTCGCCCTCCCTCTCACCAGCTGGTCTCTGCAGGTTCCCATCCTCCCAGCGGTGGGTGGGCGCGTCCCTCCAGGTGGATGCGCACAGGACCCTTAGTGCTCGCTCAGGGAAGATGCTGAGCAGACGGCGGGGCTGGGAGGGGAGCCCTCAGGGATCTGCTGAAGGCTTTCTCCTCGCGCCTGGAAGGACTTAGTCGGTGATTCTAGGCCTTCCGCCGCGTCGCTGTCAGAGCAAACTGCACTTTGACATAATGGGTTTACCTTTTCCACGTGGAGGTCAAGGTTTCAAATGTTCCATCCACGGTGTCCCGAATACAAGATTGTATGCAGCAGCGACTCTGCAAACCATGATATGGTCCTTAAACGAATCTGCCAATTTGATTTTACTCTTTTTAAAAAACATATATTTGTATTGATTTCAAAGAGGAAGGGAGAGGGAGAGAGAGAAACATCAGTGATGAGAGAGAATCATTGATCCGCTGCCTCCTGCACACCCCCTGTTGGGGATGGAGCCTGCAACCTGGGCATGTGTCCTGATGGGAATCAAACTGTGACCTCCTGGTTCATAGGTCGACACTCAACCATTGAGCCACACCAGCTGTGCTGATTTTACTCTTTGAAAGAAGAGGAGGAAGAGAGGAAGGTATTTATAGGAGAGGCAACATTTATGTGAGTCGATAATAATTTATGGGGGTGGGGGAGTGCTGGATTCATGTCAGGGGCATTCTGAGGCCATGCTTCCAGGTAAACAAAGACCAGGAAGCTGGTGGGATAGTCAGCCCTCACTGGGCAATGCTAGCCTTACTGAGAGGCACCTGGCACCCTGGGTGAGGTGGGAAGTCTTGGGAGGAGGAGGCAGCAAGGATTTAGAACAGCCGTGGGGGCCGCGGGCCGGATCCGGCCCATTTGAAATGAATAAAACTATTGAAAAAAAGACCGTACCCTTTTATGTAATGACGTTTACTTTGAATTTATATTAGTTCACACAAACACTCCATCCATGCTTTTGTTCCGGCCCTCCGGTCCAGTTTAAGAACCCATTGTGGCCCTCGAGTCAAAAAGCTTGCCCATCCCTGATTTAGAAGCTTTTCTACCCTAAGGGTCAGATCACCTGACCGTTTGTGAGAGTTCAGGAGGAACGCAATACTATTAGAAAAAGTGATCCCCACTCAGGATCTGTGGCAATTACTAGTAAATGTATTGGGGGTTCCCACGGAGAGGAGGTAGAAGCAGGACTACGCAGGCAGAATAAGGGGGAGGAAGGAGGACATGTGAAGGAGACAATGGAACCAGCTACCACCACAGGAATGCTGCCTCGCAGGTAACAGGGTCCCACAAGACAAGAATACCTGCCCTGCACGTGCAGAAGGTTGCAAGAGATGGGGTGGAAGGAGGAAGTGCGGACATAACTGCTGGGCCAAGCAGGGCCTAGGGCTACAAACCACAAGGACATGTATCCTGCAGATGCAGGAGGTTGTAAGAGACAGGGGAGAAGCAGGGGGAAGCGCCAGGTGGCAGGTAGAAGGAGCCAGTCAGAGCGTGAGACAAACAGACAAGGAGCAGGTCCATAGCTAATAAAATCTCCCAGACAAATGAGCTTTGACGGCAGCCTGTTCCTGGGCCCGCTCCCCGTGTGGGCAGTTGGCTTCCCCTTATGATAAATTCCCACACTCCTGCTTAAATCTCCTGGTCCATGATTTTATTCCTCAACTTGGTGAGACACAATCTCCAGAACTCCGACTGGTTGTTTGGGTGTCACTATCATTACGGTTATTTCTGATGATACACTGAGGATGCAGGCATTCTCCGAACACCTCACTCTGGGAACCACTAATAACCTGCATGATTTCCATGAGGCCCTTTGAAGCTTTGGAAATGCACAGTTATGAGACAGGAGATAAAATCTCCACTATCACTGAACTCAACCAGGGGATCTCTTAAGGAAATGGAAGATGCCCCATACGGGAGAAGATCAGCTCATGTCATTTTCTTGTGTGTGGAAGTCATAATAGTCGAAGCTAGGTGTTGGGGTGTTGTTGTTTGCAATATTTTTCTCTAGAAATACTTCTGACAAAACGTTCAGATATTTATCTACATTGTAAAGCTCACTTTCTGGCTCATGACACGGGACCCACAGTTACATGACTTTCCCATGGAGCCGAGTATCATCCACATGGAATGTCGTGGTGAAGTTTATATATCACACACCTTATGGTACAAATGTCATAAAAATAAGCTTTAGTGGAATATCTTTCCAATCTCTGGAAAATGCCACTTCACTGATAGAATAGTCTACTTTTGCCACATACATGCTTGGTCCTGAGGAAAGAGAGGGAAGCTAGATGGTCAGGAATCGGGACCATGGGGAGAAGAGGGACTAAAACTGGGGAACCCAACTAGGCGGAGTCACTAAGACACCCCAACTGAGCGGGGAAGGCATGAACTTTAAAATGTAGGATATTGCTACACAAGCGGCTTGCAAATAACCAATCACAAGGCAGTGAGGCATATACACCAATCCCAAGGATGTTGCTAAGGCAGAATTATTTCAAAAGACCAATCAGGAGCTAGCCAGGCCGTATCCACCCCTCAGATTAAAAAGCTATAGGGCTCCCTCTCCTCCTCCCTCTCCCCAGCAGGGTCTTGGCTGATGGTCAGAGACATGCGCCCTGAGCCCGCTGACCACCATGTGGGCTCCGCACGCGGACTAATGATGAGCTTTAACTCCCTTGGGTGCCGAGCTACACCTGCCGCTGCATGGAACCCCCGGCGCCTTTTCCAGGACCGCTTCTCCCAGTAAACTTCGCCCCCCTTCACCCAGAATTATTTAACACAATGCATGTGAAAATGGTTGCTAATGAAAGCAATCATCTGGGAAGAAAGCATACCTTCCCGTAGCAGCCCATTAAAATGAG